GTAGAGCGCTTGCCTTGCATGCATGAGGCCCTGGATTCGATTCCTCAGCACCACGTAAGCAAAAAGAAAAAAAGCCGGAAGTGGCATTGTGGCCCAAGTGGTAGAGTGCTAGCCTTGAGCTGAAGAGCTGAGGGACAGCACCCAAGCCCAGAGTTCAGGCCCCATGAACGGACCCAAAAAAAAAAAAAAGAGTCTCACAGTCTTTCCTGCCTGGCCTGGCTTTGAACTGCCATCCTCAGATTTCAACCTCCTGACTAGCTAGGATTATAGGCGTGAACCACCGGTGCCCAACTATTTTATTTATTTTTTATTTATTTCTGTGGGCTTTGGGGCTTGAACTCTTGGCCTGGTGCTGTGCCTGAGCTCTACCATTTTAGCTACAGCACCACTTCTGGTTTTCTGGTTGGTAGTTGGAGATAAGAGTTTCATGGACTTTCCTGTCCAGGCTGGCTTTGAACCATGATTGAGTTAGGTATCTCCCTTGCTTTGGCCACTGATAGAACTACTAAAGTCTTTTAGGTGTGTTCTGAGCCACTTGCATTATAAAGTCTTGGCATTGGCAGCTTGGAACAAACATTATTTGGGAATTTGAAGTTAGAAGGCATTTACCTCTTCAGTTGATGATGTTTCTTCATATTGGCTAAAAGCTTTCCTTTGAATATGTAGGGATTTTCCATAGATTTCTGTGATGTTACTAAAAGTCTGATAGATATATTTTATAGTAATAAGGAATTATTTTCTCATAATGGGTTTTTTTGTTTACTTTCAGTGGCTTGATTAAACTGGTGTTCCAGAATTTCTCCTATTCAGTTAATGAAATGTATAAAGCCTGTTTTCTTGCTGTAACAGTGAAGAACCTTCAAAAGTTTGTTCCTGAAATTACTATCCATGATATCCAAAGGTAAGAAACCGTCATAAGGATTATAAAAACAGTCCTGACCTCAGTTGAACTAGGTTTAACTGCTTCCTGAATATTGGCATTACGGGCAGGTACCACCACATCTGGCTGATAAATTTCATGCCTGAACTTTAAAAAATTTATCTTCTAAAGCCTTTTGGCTTTAGTTCTGTATGAAATCATAGCAAAGAGCTAGTGATAAGAGCCTATAATCCTAGCTACCAGGAGAGCCACAGCGCCACTTCCGGCTCTTTCCTTTTTTGCTTAATGTGGTGCTGAGGAATCAATTGAACCCAGGGCCTCAGGCATACAAGGCAAGTGCTCTACCACTGAGCCATCTTCCCAGCCCAGTCTGTGAAACTTTATCTCCAGTTAATTTCTAAAAAGCCAGATGTGGAGTTGTGGCTCAAGTGGTAGAACACTAGCCTTGAGCAAAAAAGCTCAAGGAACAGCACCCAGGCCTTGAGTTCAAGTCCTGGGACCAGTTCTCTGTCTCTGTCTCTCACACACACACACACACACACACACACACACACAATTTTCCATGTTAACTAGCTAGGTAATGAATATATTAAATTTTATATTTTGATCTTACCTTTCTTCTCTGCTTCTTATGTCTTTTCTGAGGCTCTCCCTCTCTTAGGGACTCCACTTGGTGGACAGAAGTGGGAAGCAATGTACTGGTAATCTAAGTCCTTGATACAGGAGTGTAGGGCAAGGGGAGGGAAAAGGAAGTTTTTTTAGAATAAAAGACTTTTTAGACTTGATTTGTAGAATATCCTAAATACCATCGAAGCCTAGTACTTTTTTCTCTTTGATATTTTTAGTTTTAACCTTCTTCCCTGCCAAGCCATTTGTTAGGCCTAATCAGCAGTGTACTCAAAGGTTCTCATACTACATTTACAGTACATCCCTCCACAGCTCTCCAGAGCACTGACTGTCTGCTCTTCTGTAACAGCTGCTGAAGTAGCCTGGTATAAAGTGTCAGTGGGCTGGACTGTGTATCTGGAAAGAGCAGTAATCATGTCAGCTGTCTCCCTTTGGGGATCATCCTGGTCTAAATCTGACTCTAATGTATCACTCTAAGACTTGCCTCTTAGAGTCCTAGGTACTATTAAACCTAGCTAATGTTATACTCTTATCTCCTTTCTCCTACTTACCTCTTAAAATGAAAGGGATAAAAATATCTAGGCTTTATTTTCTTGTGCTCACTAATACATCAAGCCTTTTCTGTTTTCAGTTTACTTTAGCAAACTTGTTACATTTTCTATTTAGTCAAATCTGCTTTCTACTGCTATTAATGCTCCTTGGAAAACAACTAGATAATCATAGTACATTCTGTGTAGAAGCAGTTGAAGTGGCCCACTACCCATATTCAGTTACCACACTTTCATCGAGGACTGTGGAAAACGTATTAGACCAGTGGGTTTCATAAGATGAAGGTGGATTTGGGGATTATGAGCATTAGTGATTGCTGTCTCTGGGTGTAAGGGTGTGAATTTCACTTACTAGCTTCATTGGGCTCAAGTAGAAAAGGGCACAAAGCACTGTAGGCAGGTGCATTTGAGGTGAGGTTGATCTCAGTTACAGTTGATTTCCTTGTTAGACCAAGGTGCTGCTAGGCATAATGGCACACGCCTGTAATTCCAGCTACTTGGGAGATTAAGATCAGAAGAATCATAAAATCCAGCTCATGAAAAGTTAGGAAGACATCCATCTTAACAAACCAGCCATAATGGTTTATGCCTATAATCCAGGTATGCAGGACATCATATATAGGAGGATCATAGTCAAAGGCTAGTATAAGAGGCCCTATCAAAAATTAACTAAAGCGGGCTGGGAAGGTGGCTCAGTGGTAGAGCGCTTGCCTTGCATGCATGAGGCCCTGGGTTCGATTCCTCAGCACCACATAAGCAAAAAGAAAAAAGCCAGAAGTGGCGCTGTGGCTCAAGTGGTAGAGTACTAGCCTTGAGCTGAAGAGCTGAGGGACAGCGCCCAGGCCCAGAGTTGAGGCCCCACGACCGGACTCAAAAAAAAAAAAAAAATTAAAGCAGTTTAGACAAGCTGGCTCAGTAATCCCAGCTACTTGGGATGTGAAGGTTTGGAGGATTGAGATTTGAGGCCAGTCTGGACAAAAAACTAGTAGTAAAACCTCATCTGAACAATAAAAAAGCTAGGTATTGTGGAATGTATCTATCATCCCAGTATGTAGGAGGCCATAGGTAGGAGAAAATAAACAGAGATGCTAGCTAGATATACTCATCAATTCCACTTGTGTCTTCTCTTGATTGTAGCTATTAATGCAGGAAATTATCAGTAGCAAAAAAGGAGGCTTACCCCTCCAATGCTAGCTACTCAGGAGGGTGACATCTGAGGATCACAGTTCAAAGACAGTATCTCTGACAGCATATTCCATGAGATGCTTATCTCCAATTAACTACCAAAAAGCTGGAAGTGGAGTTGTGGATCAAGTGGTAAAGCACTAGCTTGGGAAAATTAAGCTTAAGAACAGTGCTCAGGTCCTGAGTTCAAGCCCCAGAACTGGCACACACACAAAAATTCTACCCTTATTGACTGCTCCCTATATGTAATACACCAGTCTAGACATGGAGGTAAGGTAGGATGTTCTAGAAGACACTGTCTTTGCCCTTTGCCTTTATTGTGTGTGCATGCATATGTGTTTATGTACTGAGTCCTGAACTTGGGGCTTAGCTGGTACCCCTCGAGGCTGATATTCTGCCATGTGAGCCACAGTTCCAGTTCCTAGCTTTCTGGTGGTTAATTGGAGATAAAAGTCTCATGGGCTTTCGTGCCCGGGCTGGCTTTGAGACTGGATACTCAGATCTCAGCCTCCTTAGTGCCCAGCCTCATGTCAGATTTAACTAAAGGAAGATCTTCAGAAAAATCATTGCTCTGCCAAACACAAGGACAGGGCCTAGAAAACTCAGAAACAGCTAATTCTGAACAGTCCTGCAGCTTTTTCTAAGAAAGAAGGAAGCTGCTTTGATGAGTTGAGATAAACCAACAAGAAGGTGCAGATTGGACTGCACACTGGCTGGCATGTATACATCCTGTCCTAAGAAATGGCATTCTTTGGTGTCATTCTTTTTATGCTCTAAGTGATATATCAGATTCTTACTTGGAAATTCTAGCTTAAGAATCTCCTAGCCACCAGGTGCCAGGGGCTCACACTTGTAATCCTACTCAGGAAGCTGAGATCTGAGGATCGAGGTTCAAAGCCAGCTCAGAACAAAGTCTGTGAGACTCTTATCTCGTAACCACTAGAAAACCAGAAATGGTGCTGTGGCTCAAGTGGTAGAGCACTTGACTTGCTCTGAAGAGCTCAGGGACAGTTCCCAGGCCCAGAGACCAAAAAAAAAAAAAAAATCTCCTAGCCACATGCCCTTCAGGATTATGTAGGGTAGATTACTTAACTTTGTATACAGTCTTTATTCTTTAAATAATTTTTATTGAAATTATTTCTTCCAAATTGGGTGATATGTACATTTCTTTCCTTTTTTTTTTTTTTGGTCCAGTCGTGGGGCCTGAACTCTGGGCCTGGGCGCTGTACCTCAGCTCTTCAGCTCAAGGCTAGCGCTCTACCACTTGAGCCACAGCACCACTTCCAGCTTTTTTCTTTTTGCTTATGTGGTGCTGAGGAATCGAACCCAGGGCCTCAAGCATGCAAGGCAAGCACTCTACACTGAGCCACCTTCCCAACCCCCATTTCTTTCCTTTTGCTTAGTGTAAACTGTTCCCTCTTTCTCTCTCATCCCCACCCTCCCATTGCTGGCCTTGAGTTGCTTAGTTCATTTTCCTCAGTGTCCAGTGCAGCTCATGGGCCCCTGTGTTGTATTTACAGTCTTTATTTTTCTAATTCTTACCACTCTAAAAAATGAACAGTATAGCTTTAGGACTTCTGGCAAAAAGAATTAATCTGTTTCTTTGCTGCTAAAAATAAACTGCATCATCTTCTAAAGAGTTGTTATAAGGATACATGAGATGGCTCCTAGTACACATTAAATAATAGCCATTCTTATCATTATCTCCCCAGCCAGGCAGAGGTCTAGAGGACAGCTGTGTTCATTTTGTTCTTTGTGTCTTCCTCAAGTACTTATCTTGACTTGTACCTGAATCAGTAAGAAGTGTTTCACATTGTTGCTGATTTGTACAGTTGGTGTTGATGATACATAGAAGATAGACTTTTTCACACTGGGTTTCCTTGAAAAGTTTCAAAGGAGGGAATTTTAGAATCAGAGTATTTAATTCATATGTTATGAACCAATTTTAACTTTGTAGAAAAACAACAGAAACCTAATTTGTGAACTCAATGGCTTGAAAAATCTTTAGGTAGTAAAGTTTCTCACTGTTTACCATGCTGCTAAATTAATTCACTTTGGTTTTTCTTATTATCTCTTTAATTGAAGTTAAGCTGTTAAAAATATTAGAGTTGAGTAAATTTTAGTATTTTTCTCCATAATTTTCATAGCAGTATTGGGCTTGTACTCAGGGTCTCATGCTCTCACATAGTTTTCTTGGTTATACCTGGTGCTCTGATACTTGATCCATGTCTCCAACTCTGCTTTTTTTTTTTTCTGGAGATGGAGTCTAACAGACTTTACTGCCTGAGATGGCTTTAAATTGAGATCCTCCAGATTTCAGCCTCCTGTAGCTAGATGACAGGCATAAGTCATTAGCACCTAGCTTCTCCATAAATTTTAATTAGCCCACTCACAATACAAAAATAAGTTGACGGCTGGGAATGTGTCTCAGTGGTAGAGTGCTTGCCTAGCATGCATGAAGCCTGGGTTTGATTCCTCAATACCACATACACAGAAAAACCCAGAAGTGGGGCTGTGGCTCAAGTGGTAGAGCACCAGCCTTGAGCAAAAGAAGCTCAGGGACAGTGCCCAGGCCCTGAGTTCAAGCCAGAACTGGCACCAAAAAAAAAAAAAAAAAGCTGAATAAAGAATGACATGAGGGCTGGGAAGGTGGCTCAGTGGTAGAACACTTGCTTTGCATGTATGAGGCCCTGGGTTTGATTGCTCAGCACCATATGAACAGAAAAAGCTGGAAGTGGCGCTGTGGATCAAGAGGTAGAATGCTAGCCTTGAACTGAAGGGCTGAGGGACAGCGCCCAGGTCCAGAGTTCAAGCTCCATAACTGGCAAAAAAAAAAAAAAAAATCTGTTTTAAATGCTAGTTTTGGTAAACAGGTGTTTATTTGTAACTATATATATATGCTTATATATATGCTTATTTTATGAGCATGTATGCCACTGTTATGTGATAGACATGGTGCTCTGGTTAGGGGTATAGTTTTTCCAGGCTACCATCTAAGATCATTGGAAGAATGAAGACTTCATTGCTTTAAGAATGCTTTGAAAACCACTAACTTGTAAAGTATTCTGAGTAGGTTGACCACCAATTTTTTTCTTTCACAGAGGTCCAGCTGGAGTCAGAGCCCAAGCCATGGACAGAGATGGACGTTTGGTAGAAGATTTTGTATTTGATGGAGGGGTTGGGGCTATTGGAAATCAAATTCTTCATGTGAGAAATGCACCTTCCCCTGCCGCCACTTCTTCCCTGGCAATTTCAGAAATGATTGCAGATGAAGTGCAACAAAGATTTGGATTATAAAACTTGAAGGGAGCAGGGTAGGAGTTAGTGTCCATCAACAACAAGAATGTACTACTTGGATTCTCTAAGTAGAACCTAGGAAAATGGTTTTAAACTCTTACTTTATGGTCACATTTTAAGTAACCATTGAGTTATTAGTATGATATAACATATAAGTAATAATTTTTAAAAATTAAAGTCCATACTTCATGTCTTTCACAGTTGTATATGTTCTGAATCCTGACTTTGTTAATGATCTGTCTTTATAAACTGTGGTCTGGAGACAATGGATCGCCTTTATATGTTTTGGGGAAAATAACATAAAAAATGGATTATTCCCTTAAACAAAGTTTTGGCTTTCTACTATGTAAGCTCTTTTATCTTTCCTAGACAAGAGAAAACAGGTTACAGTATATTGTAGTTGTGAACATTTTTGTGTTTGTGCCAATACTGGGGCTCAAACTCGGGGCCTGGGCACTCACTATCCCTTAGCTATTTTGCTCCAGGCTGGCACGTACTCCTTGAGCCACAGGAGAGTGGGCAGTGGATCTGGAAATTGGTTGTACCAAGGCTCACATTATTTAGAGCAGCATTTCTATTTGAAAATCAAAACTTCTTGATTTTTGAGAAAATAAAAATTTTCATTTCTCAAAGCAAAAAAAATTGCATAAACTCAAGGCATTTATTACAGTTTTTTTAAAATCAATCTCTTTGTAACATGTTGTTTGGTATCCTCACTGCATCTAAACATTTGCACACTGTGTGTGATTGTGAACTGCGCTTCCGTCTTCTGTAGCATCTAAAAAAAAGCACCTAGAACTGCTAGGTTTTACCAGAGCAATTTTAGAACCCTGACACTGATGTATAGAACTCTGTAATTTAAACAATTACTTATCTCTTATTATTATATCTGTTCTTCAGTCACACTAAAGTTCTCAAAACATTGGTTAAGATCATTAATGACTTACACCCATTTAGCTTTTTAGGATTTCTATAAATTTTTGTGAGGATATTTCTCCACATTTGGTACCTATCTAACTTTGAGGCATTCACTTTTGTAAACCGCGATGGTGCCTTATCATGTTTACTTCATAAGTGCTTTATGCCTAGTGCCATACTATGTATTGCATGTTTGTGATTTATCTGATGAAATGTATCATAATTCAGAAACTTGGATAGAAGCATGTCAGTGAAAATGTGACAGCCTGGCTGGGGGGCAGTCCCACCACTGCGAGACATTTTTATCTGTTCTTCATATGCTCTCTCAGGACTAATCTTCTACTCTTCTCTTTACCTGCCCTCTCTTTTCTGTAAGGCTGTGAGAACCATGTGTATATTGGGTGATAGGTAAACCTTTTTTTCTTCTTCCTTTTTCTTCATTTCAGCCCTAGGTGATTACACAGATTGTTCTACCTCAGTTATTAATTTGCTCCAGTTTCTAAATTAGCCCATCCCAGGAACAAGGCAGGTTACTCAGCACTTGGGATGAATTGTTGAAAGCATTCTGAAATCAGTCACAGAAGAATAAAAGCCCTAGTGGTTCTTTGTAACAAACAATTCCTGCAAGAAATTCAGGGTAATCATCTTCTGTTCTGTTAAAAGAGCACAGGAGCTGGAAAATTCTATCCGTTTTATTTATTTCATCAATAGTAAGACTGTGAAAAATACACAGTAAGCTGTGAAAGATGAAATTACAAAAATAACTGTCCTAGTTAAAGCCATCCTCATTCCATTTGGTTACAACCCTTTAAAATGTGAGAGAACATTTGTTGAAGGTGTTTGAATATAGGTTATTCTGTTTGTAAAACAGTGGATATTTATGTCAATAAGGTTTTGTTGTTAAATGCTGATATTTAATAATTTTGTCTTTCTGAAAGAAGAAATATATATATTAAATTATTTTAATGATTGTGTATTGTGTTATGCATTTTTTCTGAAGGATGAGAATGGGATTCCAATGGTAGCACATCAGCTTAGCAAGCATAAAGCCCTGAGTTCAAACCCCTCTACTGACAAAAGAAAAAAAATACTTCTGGAGCCTGATGTTGTTGGACATACCTATAAACCCTGTATTCGGAGACAGGTGCAAAGAAGGACTTCAGGTTGCAGGCCAGATAGACTGGCCCACATAGGGACACTGCCTCAAAATAATCCCACCTCCAGTTGCTTCTTTTTTTTTTTTTTTTTAAGCCACCACTTCTGTATTTGTACTATGAAAACGTGGTTTAAAAAAAAAAGCATTATTTGAGGGTGAAATGAAACATTCTAGGTTCTAGTTTCAGTGTGTTTGTACATTTTTTGTGTCTCAGTGACTTAACTCTTTTTTATCCATACATATATGCATATACATCAAAGTCCTTCCCTGAACCTCTTAAGGTTTGAGCTCTTGGGATGTTGCCATTACTGTTGGCAGAGTTCCTCTTCCCCTGAGGCCATTTGGAAATCTGCCTATTGGCCTGTGGGATAACCTTACCCCTCAGAACTTTGTTCAAAGGATTGTAGTGAGAGTGGTATGTCTTGCCAGACCCTGGGATTTGGAAGTTTGTTGGGACAATACTTGGAGGCTGTCCAGCCCTGATGGCGGCAACTCTCTTGTTCTTCCAGTGAACTTAGAAGAGATGGTTACATTTAAGGGCTGGCTCTGTTCTGGGCCCTTGATTATGTATAAGTTTCTCAGTATACACTGTTTGAAGATCTAGAAAACATTTTTGAAGAGCAATTGTGAAGTCAGTTACTTCATTAAGTTTTTCTAATGCATTTATAGGGAGTTTTGTTTTGTCAGTCGTGGGGCTTGAACTCTGGGCCTGGGCGCTGTCCCTCAGCTCTTCAGCTCAAGGCGAGCGCTCTACCACTTGAGCTACAGCGCCACTTCTGGTTTTTCTGGTGGTTTTTATTGGAGATAGTCTCACGGTCTCTCCTGCCCGGGCTGGCTTTGAACCGTGATCCTCAGATCTCAGCCTCCTGAGTAGCTAGGATTACAGGCGTGAGCCACCAGCGCCCGGCTATAGGGAGTTTTTGAAATGTGTTCATCAGATAGAGTCAAGAATAGGGCAAAGATGGGCTGGGAAGGTGGCTCAGTGGCAGAGCGCTTGCCTTGCATGCCTGAGGCCCTGGGTTTGATTCCTCAGCACTACATAAGCAAAAAGAAAAAAGCCAGAAGTGGCGCTGTGGCGCAAGTGGTAGAGTACTAGCCTTGGGCTGAAGAGCTGAGGGACAGCACCCAAGCCCCGAGTTCAGGCCCCATGACCAGACCCCCCCCCAAAAAAAAGAATAGGGCAAAGATGATTGAGAAAGGATGCCTGAGATATTTTCAAATGCTTTGTACCCATTAACATGTTTAAAAGTGGAAACATATCCCCAAAGGGAAGACAAGTTCAACCAGTTCTGGCCTCAGATTCTAGAAAGGATCACCTTTTCTGATAAGTGCTTTTTTCTGCTATAGAAAGGGTGTCTCATCAAAGTTGTCTTTTAAGATTGTTTTACCTGGCCAAGTACTTCTGGCTTGCACCTATAATCCTAGCTACTCAAGACGCTGAGATCTGGGGATAGCAGTTCTAAGTCCCTAGCCTGGGCAAGAAAGTCTGGGAGAGTTTTTATCTCCAATAAACTATCAAAAAGCCAGATGTGGAACTATGGCTCAAGTGATAGAGTTCTAGCCTTGAGTGAAAAGGCTTAGGTTCAGCACCCAGGCCCTGAATAGAATCCCCTCTTAACTGGAGTAGAATGAAAAGGCTATAGCAGTGATTTTCCCATGCCTTTCAGATTTAGTTTTACTTGTTTCCCCGCAGGGTAGAATACCTTTTTGGTGTCTGAGTGATAATGAGGACAGGCTTCATAAACCACACTGGCTCTCCCAGAATATCTCATTCAACCTTCTATTTTTTTTCTCAGATTCTGTGTGTGTGTGTGTGTGTGTGTGTGTGTGTCTCCGTGTCTCCCTGGGACTTAAACTCAAGACCTGGGTAGTGTGTGTGCGTGCGTGTGTGTGTGTGTGTGTGTGTGTGTGTGTCTCCCTGTCTCCCTGGGACTTAAACTCAAGACCCGGGTACTGTGTGTGTGTGTGTGTGTGTGTGTGTGTGTGTGTGTGTGTGTGTGTGTGTGTGTGTGTGTGTCTCCCTGGGACTTAAACTCAAGACCTGGGTACTGTCTTTGAGCTATTTTTCTCAGATCTCAGCCTCCTGAGAAGCTAGGATTACAGGTGTGAGCCACCAGCACCTGGTTCTAATAACACTCTTAAAAAGGGTAGTACTGTTGAATGCTTTCTCCCTAGGATCAGGAATAAGACAAAGACATCTACTTTTGACACTTCTATAAGCAGGAAAAAGAAATAAAAATCTAACAGGAATAGAAATAAAAATATGAAGGCTAAGCTGGCCACTGATGGTTCACACCTGTACAGTGCAAGCATAAACAACCAGCGCCCGGCTGCTTTTTCACAGATTCTTGATCAGTCATTTTACACCTGGGACATATACAAAAATCTGGTTGCCCAGGTGCTTCTAAATAAGAGCCAACTGCATGGAGGCATAGCTCAGAAGTAGAACATATGCTTGGTATTCATGAGGCCCTGGTTCAATCCCTAGAACTATAAAAGTAAATAGCCAAGCATAGTGTTTCACTCATGTAATTTCAGCACTTAAGAGGCTGAGGGTAGGAGTATCATGAGTTCAAACCCTGACTGGGCCTGCCTCCAAAAAAGTAGATAAAAGGACTGGGAAGGTGGCTCAGTGATAGTGTGCTTGCCTCACATGCCTGTGGTCCTGGGTTCGATTCTTCAGCACCACATAAACAGAAAAAGCTGGAAGTAGTGCTGTGGCTCAAGTGATAGAGTGCTAGCTTTGAGCTGAAAAGCTGAGGGACAGTGCCCAGGCCCAGAGTTCAAGCCCCATGATCAACAAAAAAAAAGTAGATAAATAAATGGAAATAAATACCAGGAAGCAAAGCATAATATTGATATTACAGCTGAATAGGGAAGAAAAGTAATTCTATTATTGTTACTATGATTTCATAAGTTAGGTCATGAGTACATTTCTTTTTTCAGACAATGTCACCCCTTCCTATACTTTCCCTTAGTTTCTCCCTCCCATCCCTGCCTACAAGCTACATAGGTCATTTTCTACATAGTATATACTGAACAGCATGATTGCATCTGT